GATAGTTTTTAAGAAATATAAAAAAAAATACTATATTTTTCTACTAAAGGATTTTCTGCTCAAATAACATAAGTTGACTTTTTAAATTTTTCATAAAATAGCTAAAGAACATACATGGCAGGTCAGTTTGTTTCTGAAGATTTTATATAACATTTATTACATGTATAAATGATCTCAAAAAATCCTTTTAAAATTTTTAGCATAAAAGAATTCAGTACCATTCACATAGTTTCTATTATCCCAGAATGTAGAAAATATTGATAGCAACTATGTAAACTGTGAAAGATATTAAACATCACTATATATTTCTCAAAAGGTTATTGCTTCATTTTACTGCCCAGTTAGCTGACAGTAGCATTTCTAAACGTCTTCAATAGCATTTTTAGCTGTTAGAAGATCAAAACTCTTTTAGGCTAACATTGAAATTTCTAGATGAAACAGAGGAATGTACAAATAAATAATGGTGATCATTTTAGCCTATTAATTGCTCTCATTTTTTTTTTCTTTTTGCTGATTTCTAATTCAAAATAGTGAGACTAGCACTGGGCTGAATACATTCACCCAGAAATTCCAGGACATCAAGTAAAAATGTTAGAAACAGGTTCTCTTACATCCTATTACTTGCAAAACAAATAGATATCAGTTTCCTACCGCCTCTCACTACTTGTGAGAATATTGGTTTGAGGAAGAAATAAACAGTATGTCTCCACTGCCTTCCACACAATTTTCACTCCCACATTACTCTAAGGTCATAAGATTAATTATCCACAAAGGCTGGTTAATGAACTACACAGAGAAAATCATTTCAAAGGGTTAATAGGTATTTGTGTATTATATATAAAGAAGCATAAGCAAATATAAAGATATAAATATGTTTTGATCAATTATATGAATATGTTAAGCAAAAGTAAACCATATATATGATATAGAATGTGGTATTTATGATGGTGGTTTATGATTTGTAATTCTTAACTTTCACTAATGTGACTTTCTGGATAATTTTTGGGAACACTTTTAAGTTTTGGGTCTCCAAACCTTAACGGAATGCAGCATAATAGCCACATCTCAATTCTCCATGGTTTCAAGAGCCTATTTGTGATTTTGGATGTTTTGAGAGTAGATGAAGGAAAGAGAAGTGTCAAGGGGAATCAGTACAGGAGAAAGGATGGAGGTATGTGGAAAGAAATTAACTCATCAAAGCAGGAAAGAGTTCACTGTCAATTGTTCTGGAAGGGCCAAAGGCAGAAAGGGGGAAAAAAAAAAAAAATAAGTCACCTTTCAAGGGTGAGAAAGAAGAGAAGTATGCCATTTTCAGCATATTAAAATAGGTCGGGCTACACAAACTTTAAAAAGGACTATTTAGTCAATATGAGTCGGAATCAACTCAATTGGCAATGGGTTTAGTTTTTGGTTTATTTAGTTATCCATTTAGTATATACTTGTTAAACACCTACTGTATGTTAGGCACTATGGTTTGCATTGGGGATGTGGTGGTAAACAAAACTGACAAAAATCTCCACTCTCATGGAGTTTACAGTCTTGTGGGGATAGATGAACAACAAAAAGAAATAACTACAATATGTAATGAGTCAAATGGTATGTTTTGGATTGAATTGTGTCCCCCAGAAAAGATATGTTGAAATTTTAATTCCTATACCTGAGGATGTAACCATGTCTGGGGAAATAGTCTTTTTTTTTTGAAGGTATCGATTAAGTCATACCAGAGTAGTATGGGTCCTAATCCTAATCCCTTTCTCGTGGTATCTAATAAAAGGGTAGAACAGACATGGAAACAGGCAGACACATGGGGTAGATAGCATGTGAGGATCTGTCTACAGGCCAGAAGCTGAAAGAGACAAGGAAAGATCTTCCCCCAAAGCCAACAGAGAGAGAGAGAGAGCATAGCTCTGCTGATATCCTGAATTTGGACTTCTTCAGAACTATGAAAAAATAGGTTTCTGTTCTTTAAAGCCACCCACTTTGTGGTGTTTTGTTATGGCAGCCCTAGAAGACTAAGACATGGTATGAAGTGCTATGAAGACATATAAAGCTGGGAAAGTGAATGGGAAAGGTTGTGGGGGTTGCTTTTTAAACAGAACTGGTCAGGGAAGGTCTCACTGTCATGCTGACATTTGAGAGGGGACCTGAAGGAGGTGACAGGATGAGCCCTATGGAAGGATATCTAGGTGAAAAGTATTCCAGGCAAGTATATTTGCTGAAAGAGCCAGAACAAGGGTTATCTGAATAGCTGAAGTCTTGGCTGAAGTCTTGCAAACCTGCTTTAAATACTAGCTTTGCAATTCATGCTTGTTGACTGAGATCTAAGTATAAGAAAATTGAAAAAATTTCTGTTGCTCCTGTTTTGTTTATGTTCACGTGTAGCTGTTACTGATTCTACTAATCAAAATATATAAGAAGTCATAAGGTACTAAGAGCCACTCTCTGTTCATGTAGGATGAAAGAAGTAAAGAGCAACAAACTCTCATGGTTCACATTCCCCACCTTAGTGCAGTGTTTCCAAACTTTAGTCATTCCTTTCTGTGTAATCATTTTTAAGAACTCCTTTTACTATTTCTTAAAAAACATTTTTTATTTTAAAAAGCATTCAGCTATAGCCCTGTGAGGAGAGGACCGCATCTCCCTTATTCTCCATTCTGTCCTCAGTACATAACATTAACCTGGGAGCATAGTAAGCGGTTTTAATCATTTGTTAGCTTACCCATCAGGCTGTCATACATTTAAGAAACAGGATGCTAAGGTAACCATTTACCGACTCCGTTTTTCCAGGTCACATTTTTCTTTTTTTTTTTTATTGTACTTTAGATGAAGGTTTACAGAACAAATAGTTTCTCATCAAAGAGTAGGTACGCACATTGTTTTATGACATTGGTTAACGGCCCCACGACATGTCAACACTCTCCCTTCTCGATCTTAGGTTCCCTGTTATCAGCTTTCCTGTCCCCTGCTGCCTTCTAGTCCTTGTCCCTGGGCTGCTGTGCCCCATTAGTCTCATTTTGTTTTACAGCCCTGTTTAGTCTTTGGCTAAACGGTGAACCTCGGGAGTGACTTCATTACTGAGCTAAAAGGGTGTCTGGGGGCCATACTCTCAGGGTTTGTCCAGTCTCTGCCAGGCCAGTAAGTCTGGTCTTTCTTGTGAGTTAGAATTTTGTTCTACTTTTTTCTCCAGCTCTGTCCAGGACCCTCTGTTGTGATGCCTGTCAGAGCAGTCAGTGGTGGTAGCCAGGCACCATCTAGTTGTACTGGACTCAGTCTGGTAGAGGCCGTGGTAGCTGTGGTCCATTAGTCCTCTGGACTAATCTTCCCTTGTATCTTGTTTTCTTCATTCACCCTTGCTCCCAAAAGGGTGAGACCAGTGTAGTATCTTAGATAGCTGTTCATAGGCTTTTAAGACCCCAGATGCTACTCACTAAGGTAGAATGTAGAACATTTTCTTTATAAACCATGTTATGCCAATTGAGCTAGATGTTCCCTGAGACCATGGTCCCCACAGCCCTCAGCCCAGTAATTCAGTCCCTCAGGGAGTTTGGATGTGTCTATGGAGCTTCTGTACCAGGTCACATTTTTCTATAATCTCTGTCATCTTGAAAGACCTTTACACACTCTTCATTGCAAGGTGCATAGTGGCTCTTCACAGAGGCTCTGTGTCTATAGGATTTTTCCAATCTGCTTGGCTAGCAATTTGATCAAATAGAGATGTGGGCTTTTCTCTTCCCTTTGTCTATGCTCTAGACAGCTGATCCAGTTATCTCTCTAAAACTCTGATCTGATCATGTCACTCCCTTGCAGAAAATCCTGTCTATCAAATTGTCTGAATAGATGAGCAAGATGAGATTGCCCCAGGAGAGTTAAACTATGAGATACAAAAACTAGTCTTAAACTAGACTACAGATTTAACATATAGTAAGACTGTGACATGGTAGGATGCTGAAGGCTGGTCACCATAAACATAGGAAACAGAAGAGAAACAAGTATCTCTATTGAGTGCAGGTATAATATGGGAGCCCTTGATCAAAGATTGAAAATCTTTTCCTCCCAAGGATAAAAAGCTCTAGCTGCTGTGGAGATAGGTATACCAGAATATTATAATTTGAAACCAATAAAGGTTTAAATCACATTATTATCTCCCAGCCTGATTATTTGATCATCTAGCAACTTGTAATTAGCTTTCCTTTTAGTGTTCATATATCGGGAAACATATGAGTCAGGATGCATTGTTAGGATCTTAACTGTTTGCATTTCTCATAGTAAATATAAATGGTACATTTATTTACATATCAGTCTATTGTAAACAAAGTTCTTGTAAACTATGCTGTGAGTGCTTAATTTATAAGTAAAACTAAATATAGTTCTAGCCTAGCTAGGAAACTTTTTGGAATATAGACAACAACCAAGCAAACAAAGGGAAGAACTTTGCAAATATGTTGTCATCACAGAAAGCTATTTGGCCCAAAGATCCATAGAACCCTATTTATACTTTTAACACTCCATAGATGTTTTCTTAAATTTTCTACCAGATAATGACCAAACCATTTTTTCTTCCTGCCTTTAGAAATTCCTCTGTATTTTTAGGGCAGGGTTCAGTCTTCCTTTCTCCTTGAAGACTTCTTTGACCATTTTACTGTGGCCCCAATAATCTCTAAAATTAACTCTTGGAGATATTTAACTATATACTGCTAATTGTTTCACTTTTTTTTTTTTTTTTCTGATGGTGAAATTCTCATAATTCCAATAAGTAGTAAACTCCTTGAAGGGTAGCAACTGATATTTTACTTCTTTTGTGTTACACATAGTTTTTGACAATAGCATAAATTCTTCCAACAGTTCTGACAATCCTTCTCTTTCATCCTTAGTCTCCCTTTCTCACATATCCCAAGTTAAATAAATTCAAGCTCATCTTTGGTCTTGTCCTGGCCATTCTATTTTCTATATTTAACTGTATCTATCAGCAGTTGCTCACAATATTTCTGTGTTTTCCATACCTTGCAGTTTTTGCTTCTCTTACTTATGACTGGGCTTGAAATTCTGGCTTCTCTCATGGGCTGCTGAGTGAACAAGCTCTTTATAAAGATGTAATGACCAGATGAATTTTGTAAAGTATGATCAGCAGCTGGCTCTGTGCCTACAGTGGGGATGCTGCTAGCTTTCAGATTCCAGTCAAAGTCGTCGTCCTGATCCTGCTCCCAGGAACAAAGATCAAATTCAAAATCACAGCGCACAACAGAGTTACCTGAAAAACATTTCCCAATTTATGGGAGAGAGAAAGAGGAAATTAGCTGAGTTTAAGGTATCCAAAAATAGTGATCTTACTACACCTTGTAATATTTAAAGCCTTACAAAACTATCCTGACAGCAACATTTAAATAGAATATTTTAGTTTGTTGTATAAGCTATTTCTACAGTTTATTTAAGTTCATTCGTCCACAAATACAGTCCCAGTCTCAAAATCAATGAGAAAATATTTTAGCATTACATACAATTCCTTTCTCAAATGGGTATTTGGTCAACGTAATTTATTTCTTCTCTCTTCTCGTCTTTCTTTCTCAGCTCTTGGTAGAGAATTTAGGAAGTTAATTATTCTGCAATACAGTTTAGCTTGGGAAATGCTGCCTAAAGTAAAAGTTATCATTAATCATCATAATTATTTTTAGCACACATCCTTATTTTAGAAATGAGAAAACTGTGGAACAGGAAAGTAAAGTAAAAGGTATAATGATTTGAATTAATTTATTATAATAAGTTTCAGAATATAAATATGTTAAGTTATATTAAATATCAAAACATCTCCCAGGTGTTCTTTTAAATATTTTATAACTAACATTGCTAAAGTTGTTTTTCCTCCTTATTTCCAGAATAGAAGGAATTACACAAACACTGTTATACAGGATCTCCCTGACTTACGACAGGGTTTTGTTCAATGACTCTGTTCTAAGTTGGTTCCGATGTAAATCGGATACCTCATTTTTTTTCTTTAGTTCTCATTATTATTGTCTTTTATTAACAGTATCTTTAAAAATCTGACCTTATTTGTCTTTAGGGGTTAGAAACATTACATACAAACTTATGTATTACATATTACTAACGATAAGATACACAAAATAAACAGACAGTCCTAAGTGCAGTTCGTTGTAACTCGAGTATGTTGTAAGTTGGGGACTACCTGTAATACTCATGGTAAATTATAAAACTAACAATGCTAGTAAGGATGTTACAAAATTGAGTATTGTGTCATTATATGGTCATATAAAATTATATGTTTAGGATAGGTTTATATTCTTCATTTTTAAGTAAATATGGTATAACATAAATCCAATGAGTGATTAATTTGACCGTAAGTAATAAAACATACTGTTTATAATTCCTTGACTGCAATAAATCTTTATTTGTTCTGTTCAAAGTTGTTTGAATATTATAAATGAAAATCTGTAAAATCATAATAATATGTGAGATGATATCCAAAAGTTACAAACATTTAAGAAATCTAAGTTGTAACAATCTAAAATGTATTCAGATAGATTTCTCTCTTAAAGAAATCTTATTTGAACAATTGTTAAAATTATTTTTTTGTTGTTCAAATATTTGGAAGGCAATTTTATCTAAATGAAAATAGAAGTGATTCATATGAGCAGAATTTTTCTCAATCTATGCCATCAAAACACTAAGGAAATCATTAAGAAAAGGTCTGCATCCTACTTTGGTGAGTGGCATCTGGGGTCTTAAAAGCTAGCGGGTGGCCGTTGGTCCCAACCACCTGGAGTAAAGGAGAATGAAGAACACCATAGTCACAAGGAAAATATTAGCCCAAGAGGCAAAAGGGCCATATAACCCAGAGACTCCATCAGCCTGAGACCAGAAAAACCAGATGGTGCCTGGCTACCAACAATGACCGCCCTGACAGGGAACACAACAGAGAGTCCCTGATGGAGCAGGGGAAGTGTGAGGTGCAGAACTCAAATTCTAGTAAAAAGACCAGACTTAATGGTCTGACTGAGACTAGAGGAACCCCAGAAAGCATGGCCCCCAGACTCTCTGTCAACAGAACTGAAACAATTCCAGAGGCCAACTCTTCAGACAAAGATTAGACTAGACTGTGAGACGTAAAATGATATTTGTGAAGAGTGTGCTTCTTAGCTGAAGTAGATACATGAGACTAAATGGGGAGCTTCTGTCCAGAGGTGAGATGAAAAGGCAGAGAGGGTTAGGAGCTGGTTGAATGGACACAGGAAATCAGGGGTGGAAAGGAGGAGCATGCTGTCACAATATAGGGAGAGCAATTAGGGTCACATAACAATGTATGTATAAATCTTTATATGAGAGACTAACTTGAATTGTAAACTTTCACTTAAACTACAACAATTAAAAAAAAAAAAAAAACCCACTAAGGAGTCAGCTCTCTCCAGCACACAGGCCAAAGGAAGGTAGAAACATATTCCAGAAGAAGCCATGGCAATTCATGGACTAATAATCACCTCTGTTCTATTACACAGGACACTAAGAATTTACAAATTGTGCTTGGCATCAAAACATAGTTTTTTTTTTTAAATGGATACTTTCTGATAGCACAGGCCAGCAAAAATTGTTTAAATATATATATATATGTATATGTATACATATATGTATGTGTGTGTGTGTGTGTGTGTGTGTGTGTCTGTTTATATATATATGTATGTATGTGTTATTGTTAGGTGCTGTCAAGTCGGTTCCAACTCATAGCGACCCTATGTACAACAGAACGAAACATGGCTGGGTCCTGCACCATCCTCACAATAGTTTTTATGCTTGAATCTATTGTTGCAGCTGCTGTGTCAATCCATCTCATTGAAGGTTTTGCTCTTTTTTGCTGACCCTTTACCAAGCATGATGTCCTTCTCCAGGGACTGATCCCTCCTGATAACATGTCCAAAGTATGTAAGATGTAGTCTCGTCATCCTTGCTTCTAAGGAGCATTCTGGTTGTACTTCTTCCAAAACAGATTTTTTCATTTTTTGGCAGTCCATGGTATAGTCAATATTCTTCACCAACACCACAATTCAAAGGCATAAATTCTTCCTTGCTCTTCCTTATTCACTGTCCAGCTTTCACATGCATATGAGGCAAATGAAAACACCATGGCTGGGGTCAGGCGCACCTTAACCTTCAAGGTGACATCTTTGCTTTAGAACACTTTAAAGAGGTCTTTTGAAGAAGAATTGCCCAGTGCAATGTGTCTTTTGATTTCTTGACTGTTGTTTCCATGGGTGTTGATTGTGGATCCAAGTAAAATGAAATCCTTGACAACTTCCATCTTTTCTCTGTTTATTATGATGTTGCTTATTGGTCCAGTCGTAAGGATTTTTGTTTTCTTTATGTTGAGGTGTAATCCATACTGAAGGCTGTGGTTTTCTACCTTCATCAATGAGTGCTTCAAGTCCTCTTCACTTTCAGCAAGCAAGGTTGTGTCATCTGCATAACACAGGTGGTTAATGAGTCTTCCTCCACTCCTGATGCCTTGTTCTTCTTCATATAGTTCAGCTTCTCAGATTATTTGCTCAGCATAAGGTTGAATAAATATGGTGAAATCTTACTAGCCTCACACGCATCTTTTCTGACTTTAAACCATGCAGTAGCCCCTTCTTGTGTTTGAATAAATGCCTCTTGATCTATGTACAGGTTCTTCATGAGCACAATTAAGTGTTCTGGAATTCCCATTCTTCACAATGTTATCCATAATTTGTTATGATCCACACAGTCGAATGCCTTTGC